CCACCCAGCAAGGGGGCTTGGCCATGTTCCCCTTGGGCTTGGGGGCTCGTCCAGGCACACCAACCTGTGACTGTAGTTTCACCATGGCCGCTTCCATCTCCGAGTTGGATTCGTTCAGCTCACTGATCTCCTTGTTCAGCTGTTTGATCTCTTCATCGTTCTCCAGAACTGCAGGAGGGAAGGTCATGGACAGTCAGCAAATGGGTTGCACATCTCACCTGCATTGGTTTTACCTTTTTCTTTTTTTTTTTTTTTTTTTTAAGTTAAGGTTTTTATCATCACAGTTCAATGACATTTGAACAGGTCAATATGCAAATGCAAAAGCAAAGGACAGCGGAGCAGCTGCAGTCCAGCACATCCCCACACCCAGCAAGGTTGATTGTCCTGAACAATCAGGTCACCCTCTCCAGTCCCAAGTTTGGAAAGATGCCATTTAAGAACCTAATGCACGTCTTGATTAGAAATTACGAGGTTCATAAAATAAAGCAATATTTCCAGAAGAGTGCAGGTATTTATAGGTTCCAAACTATATAAGTACTCAAGTTCAAAGCTTGAACCTTGTCAAATACCACAGAAAGCTCAGTAATAGCACTGGAAAAGCAAAGTGCCATCGCTAACAAAATTCCAGATCCAGAAATATCGCAGTATTAAAAGCCCTGAATAGGTGAAAATTGCTGAATGACTGCAAGGGATTTGTAAAAATGCCAGTGAATATTTGAAAAAAAAAAAAAAAATCTTAATTTCAGCATTAATTCTTTTGCCTTCTTTATCATCACTGCCTCAAAGTGTGTGACTCAGGGAGTGGGGCTGGTACCATACCACCCCCAGTACCCAGAAAACCCAAGGAATGGGTTATCATAACACATAACATCTTTGCAAACCTGTGGCCAGATTTCAGCTGTTGAAATCTCCTCAGTCTGCGAAGAAAAAGATCTACAGGCTCAATACCCCAACACACCTGCAAGGCAAAGGAGTGAAAATCCTTACCGTCGCTGGTCTTGAACTTTGTGTTGAGAATTTCATCCCCTGAGAGTTTTCCTTTCTTCCCAGCAAAAGTAGCTCTTGGACACCCTGACAAACTGAAAAACAAGTAAAAATGGGTTTCATAAACTCTCAGTATTTATAGGTGCTTGTGTTCCCAACAAGAGCACACGCCATTTGGTGGAGTTCACGCTGTGAGACAGTTCTTCTAAAAGCTTTTTATGGCACAGGGGAAATTGCTTTATGAATAATGCCACAAAACTCCCCATTTATAAAGTGAGAGCAATTTTCTTTAAGCAAAGATTGGAAAACACACTGTTTCCTAAAAGACAGGGTACACCAGGTGAGGAAGGCGAGATGAGTCTGGCTGGCATGGGCTTTAAGCCCCTGTTTGTGGTGCTCAAGTGCTTTTCTAACGTGCTAATGGAGACTTAGATTACATATTAGGAAGAAATTCTTCCTTGTGAGGGTGGGGAGGCCCTGGCACAGGTTGCCCAGAGAAGCTGTGGCTGCCCCTGGATCCCTGGAAGTGTCCAAGGCCAGGCTGGACAGGGCTTGGAACAACCTGGTCTAGTGGAAGGTGTCCCTTCCAGCAGCAAGGGGGTTGGACAAGATGAGCTGTAAGGTCCCTTCCAACCCAAACCATTCTGTGATTCTGTGAACGTTAAAACAACACTTTCTTCTGTGCAGTAGGACTGACTGACCTCAGTATCAAAATCACCAGCTCTTGAGCCCCACGTGAAGGGCTGAACGGTGCTCAAGCAGCGCCTACAGGGAGGTGGGCGAGCTCCCAGCAATGCTGTCACACTTACACTGATTCCCAGCCAGGATTTACCTTCTGTGAGTGAGGAAGCTCCCGTTGGCATGGCCGGAACCGTCACAGCCTGGAGTAGGGCAGGTTGGGCCTTCATTCTTCAACGACTTCCAGGAAAACGAGGAGCCGTTGAGCGATCCTTCCTTCTGCCTGCGGGCTGCGAGAGGGCACCCTGACGCACTCCGGTGAGAGGCGTATTTGCCGCTGATGTGCCCGAGCCCAACGCAGCCAGGAACGGGACACCTGGGCACAGGGAATCACCAAGAGTTACAGCCCGGCCATAAAGAGGAAGGTAGAGGAAGGAACGGATAAAGGGGTAAGGAAATTAGGGATGAGCAGGAGCGGGGGAGCTTCTGAAGAGAGCATTTTTGCATTTGGGTCTCGTCTCAGGTTTATGGGGTAGATACTTAGTTGATGGAAATGGCAGATGGGAAATTAAGAGCTACGACTGCTCCTTCAAAGGAGCTGAAGGGAACCAAGGAGAATTCCGCAGAAGGAAAGGCTGTGGATGGAGGTCACATCACACACAGCAAAAGCAGGTCCCGGTGGAGTCAAAAATCATTTGTTTGGTACCTCACTGAGGACAAAGACAGCAGTTTGGGCTGCAAGACATGGGATCCTGAGGCACTGCAAGGCTGACACACTCACACTGAGCCATCACACATGTACAGCCAGCTCTGCATGGCGGTACTGCCGAGGAACCCAGGGTCATTAACTTTATCACCCTACACTGGCACAATCAGCACAGTTTAGGAGCACTGCCTGTGCCCATGGGGACACAACCCTTCCCCCTGAGCCAGGAGCTGCTCAGGCTGCGACCTGTGCACGAAGAGCTGTAAACCTGCTCCTGCCAGGAGGGTGTCCGAGGAGCTTCTGAGCCTGTACCCCAGCAGACAGGACGAATCACTCGGCCATCACGCAGCCTGGCGTGACCTCACTTGCCTCCTCCTCCTCCTCCTTCTCCTCCTCCTCCTGGTTCACATCCTGCCTCCGTGGCAAGATCAACCCACGCTCACAAGGGGATAAAGTGGGAATTACCATCAAGGCAGCACATGAGCCCTCCCACCCCCGCACTTCTGCTGCTGTTTATGGCCGGCTGAAACCCACAGGAGCTGCGAGGAGCATCGTGGAAGCACCAACACAACTTGTGCTGTTGGCAAGCAGGTGACTGGCTCTCCAAAAGGCACCTCTTTCCTCCCTCCTCATCCAACC